ATAAAACCAAAAGACAAACACATAAGCCCAGAATATTACGATTTTTATATTTTTAAAAAAATTTATTAATTTAATAAAACTATGTGTTCGTTATGAGCTACGATAAGCTATGAGTGACAAAACTTTTAATATTTTAACATTAACCTCAATACTGACTAATTTTAGAATGCTCACAGTTTTGTCACTGCTAATGTGGCCCGGATTACTATGTATGCGCATTGTAGGTTATGAGCCAGAACATTTTTCTCATAGTTGCGCGGAACCATTGATTAACAGTTATTTATTTATTTATTATTTGAATGTATTGTTGCATGGTGCAATGTCTACCAAGTTGTACAGAATTTGTATACAATAGTGTTAGCGTAGGACATGTTGTAAATACAGTAAAACTGGATTTATTGAGTCAATTAGATTTTGATAGGTAGGAAAAGGGATCAGATTATGATTTTTGATCATTTGAAAATAAAACTCCCATTAATGCTGGACTGGTTTTTATTAAAATTTTTCAAAATTTATAATTATAATTAATTCTCAACATTTTAAAATAATATTGCAATTGTTAACTTTTTATTATACGGAAAACCAATACTTGTATTGAAAAATACAAAATTTTGAATTCATATAAGCAGGATCAATTAATTTCAGGCTCATTTAAATATGACCCTGACAGAGTCCACTATCGATGATACCGAGCTCACGACCTCCAGCGGGGGTCACATCGAGTATCCTCCCGGCGACGAACGGTCCCCTGTCGTTGATCCTAACGCTGATAGACCTGCCATTACACTACGCCTGTACTACAGTCCCAAACGATAGGGTCTTATGGGCGGCAGTCATGGCGTTTGGGTCGAAGGGTTCACCACTGGCTGTGATGGCACCGGCAGGTGCGTCATACCATGAAAAGACACCATCCTCAGCTAAAAATGTGTATAATTTGAAAATTGAAATTACCATTTATAGCCTCATAATTAAAATAGGTACTAGCATAAGTTTGTTTTTGTATAGACTTACCATAGGTTTGCGAAACTGTAATGAGAACCACCAGAGTTACCAATTTATACATGATTTTAGCTATGGTTTGTAATTATA